CCCAGTGACTTGGTCCCTCAAGGTGTTTGGATATGTCTAGGAAGCTTCTATGACATTGCCTTGGTCAAGTTGTGCTGATTTCCCCTATATTGTTTGTTGTCTTTCCCTTCACCAAAGTTAACACTTGTCTACTAGCAAGTTCATGATTTCTCTTCCCCATCCCTCCCCTCACTCCTAACCATCAAAGATGGTTTTTTTCTGTGTGTAAACCTTTTCTTGAGTTTTTGTAATAGTGGTCTCATACAGTATTTGTCCTTTCGTGATTGACTTATTTCACTCTGCACAATGCCCTCCAGATTCATCCATGTTGTAAGATGTTTCGCGGATTCATCAGTGTTCTTTATCGTTGCATAGTATTCCACTGTGTGTATGTACCATAATTTGTTTATCCATTCATTTGTTGATGGGCACTTAGGTTGTTTCCATCTCTTTGCTATGGTGAATAATGCTTCAGTGAACAGGGTTTGCGTATGTCTGTTAGTGTGACGGCTCTTATTTCTCCAGGATATGTTCCTAGGAGTGGGATTGCTGGATAGTATAGTATTTTCTATTTCTAGCTTTTTAAGGAGGCACCATGTCATTTTCCATAGTGGTTGTACCAATTGACATTCTCACCAGCAGTGCATAAGTGTTCCTATCTCCCCACAACCTGTCCAACATTTATTATTTTCTGTTTTGTTGGTTTTTTTTGTTCCAGCGATGTCAGGATGAGATAATATCACATTGCAGTTTTGATTTGCATTTCTCTAATGGCTAACGGAAGCCCTGGTGGTGCAGTGGTTAAGAGCTCAGCTGCTAACCAAAAGATCAGCAGTTCAAATCCAACAGCAGCTCCTTGGAACCCTATGGGGCAGTTCTACAGGGTCACTATGAGTCGGAATTGACTCCACAGTGACGGTTTTTTTTCCCCCTAAGTCCTGTTTTTATTGTTCTGCAGCAGAATGCCCAACGTAAAATATCATCGCAGGATTCCAGCTGTGCAAAGAGGAGCTACTGCTGACGTACATATGGGAGACCTAATTCAGTACATAAATACTCGACACAACACGGGGGAAGGGGGACGACAGGTGTAGTCTGGATTTGGGGTCCTCAGATACCCCACTGTGGACCCACGATATTGGTCATGATCCCCCTACCCCGAGATAATCAATACGTGAATCAGCGGTGCCAATGGTCAGACGTGGTCACGATAAGCCCCTTGTGGCAGGTTTCCTAGCCCTCTAAGGATGTGATCTGGACTGGACAGGGACAAGGGGAGTTTCCTGAAGGTCAGTGGCCCATATCGGTTTGGTGTGTGCTCTGCGTGGTTGTCTGGCCCCTCCACTGTGCAGGCGGTGGTGGCAGCTAGATGACCTTCCTGAGCTTGTGGTAGAGAACCAGCACGAAGGCTCCGCCCATGCCCTTCAGCACGTTGGACCAGGCACTCTTGAAGAAGGCCTTGCCGTCCTGTCCTTGAAAATCTTCCGCCAGCAGCCGGCCGTCCCGGTGTGCATGATGTGGGCTCCTTTGCACCCCGACTGCATCATCATGCATCTCCACACAGTGTCAAAGGGGTAGGAGACAAGGCCAGCCACACCATCACGGTCTGGGCGATCACCCAGCTGACCACGATGTGTGTGTTCTTGGGGTCGGGGAGCATGCCTTTGGCCGTGTCGTAGACGCCGAAGTAGGCCGCCCAGGTAGATTATGAGCCCCTGCACAGACACGTTGAAACCCTGGTACAGGCCACAGACACCGTCCGACTCGGTGATCTTCACTAGACAGTCTCCCAGGCCCTTGAACTCCTGCTCTGTGCCGGACTTGCCGACGTCGGCCGCCAGGTGGATTCTGGCGAAATCCAGCGGGTAGACGACGCAGAGGGAGGTGGCCCGGCCGCCCCTCCAGAGGCCATGTTGCCAGCGAAGCACCGCCGGAACTGCGTGTGCTCGACCACCCCGCCCGGGAAGACCTGCTTATACTTGTCCTTAAAGGCGAAGTTGAGGGCCTGTGTGGGGAAGTAGCGGATGACGTTGGCCAGGTTGCCGCGCCGGAAGGACAGCACGCCTTGCTCCTTGGGGATGCGCGCGATGCAGTCCACGATGTCCTTGTACTGCTTGTCGGCCGCCATCTGCTTGCTCGCATGCTACTCCTGCAGCAGCAGCCTGACCAGCTCCATCCGGCCCACGGCCGTCTCGGAGATGGCTGCGGCGATGCTGGCCACCAGGAAGTCCTTGGCGAAGGAGAGGGCCTGTTCATCTTGGTCTGCGGAGCAGACGGAGAGCCGGAGTGGATGCACGAAGGCCGGGAGGGTGCACTCCGCTGGCTCTGCTGCCACCGCCAGGACCGAAAACATGGTTTTGGTTTTCAATGACTAATGATGGGGAGCATTTCTCATGTGTCTGTTAGCCGCCTGAATGTCTTTGGTGAAGTGTCTGTTCATGTCCTTTGCCCATTTTTTAATTGGATTATTTGTCTTTTTGGTGTTGAGGCGTTGAAGTATTCTATAGATCTTAGAGATTAGACCTTTGTCCAGTATGTCGTAGCCTAAAATTTTTTCCCAGTCTGTAGATTCTCTTTCTACACTTTTGGTGAAATCTTTTAATGAGCACAAGTGTTTAATTTTTAGGAGCTCCCAGTTATCTAGCTTATCTCCTGGTGTTTGTGCATTGTTAGTTATGGTTTGTATTGTATTTATGCCATGTACTAGCGACCCTAGCATTGTCTGTATTGTTTCTTCCCATGATCTTTATCGTTTTAGGTTTTATGTTTAGGTCTTTGATCCATTTTGAGTCAGTTTTTGTGTATGATGTTAGATATGGGCCCTGTTTCATTTTTTTTTACAGGTGGGCATCCAGTTTTGCCAGCACCATTTGTTAAAAAGGCTAACTTTGATCGTTTGTCAAAGATCAGCTGACCATAGGTGGATGGATTTGCATCTGGTTTCTCATTTCTGTTCCATTGGTCTATGTATCTGTGATTGTACCAGTCCCAGGCTGTTTAGACTAGGTGGCTGTACAGTAGGTTCTGAGATCAGGTGGTGTGAGGCCTCCTACTTTGTTCTTCTTCTTTAGTGATGCTTTGTTTATCCAGGGCCTCTTTCCTTTCCATGCAAAGTTGGTGATTAGTTTTTCTTCAGGCATTTCTTGAGGGTGGTGCTGTAGCCTGGGTGCCTGTGTGTGTGGACTCCTGCCTCATCTGCCCACCTGGCAGACTCCCTCCTGTGGACATGGCCCTGTGCTGACTCCTTTGCCTGATTTCTGTCTCCTGATTATCAGGCCAGAAGGTGTAGTAGGGTGCTAAATGGACTTTCTGTTGGCTCAGATTTGCTCCCAGCAGAGATTAATAGTTGAACACACCCCAATATTCAAAAGGAAGCAGTTGGCATGTCCATGTTGAGCTTAAGGAAAGAAAGTGAAAGAAGCCCCTGAGCCTCACCCCACAAACAAGGGGAGCCCCTGGGAGCCCAAGACCAGAAATGAAAGGGCTTAGGGAGAAACATGGTCTGAGCTGTGGGAAGTACAGCTTCCCTCTCTGGGGCTGGAGGAGCATGGTGTGTAAAGATTGGGAGGGGGGCTGCAAAGGAGGCTGGCATATCACTCCCCTACAATGTGGCCTCAGGGCACAGCTCCCCGGAAGGACATCCCTGGAAGTAGGGCTTTGAACCTATTCGTTCTGGTTCAAACCCCTGCTGAGAATTTGCCTTTCCACCCTCAGATACACTGAATCCAAATCTACAGTTTAACAAGATCCCCAGGTGACTCTTATGTATGATAAATTTTAAGAACCACTATTCTACTAGTGGTTCTCAGAACTGGTCCCCGACCAGCAGCACTAGCCAGGAACTTCTTAGAAATGCAAGTTCTCAGCAGGAGTTCTAACTGGCAACAAACTGGTCCCAAGCACTGCAGGGAAGCCGAGCAGACCCCTCATCCACGGGCCTCCTGGAGCCCCGGGCCTGGGCAGCCTAGCCCAGGGAACAGCTGTGCACACCTCCCACCCTCTCCAGCTTCAAGGCTCATCACATCTAGAAGAGCGGCAAGGGGAGGCCCTGGGGTCCCTGCCACCTCTGATGTCCACTTATCTCGGGCCAGGCCTGCAGGCTGGAGAGGTCTCAGTTCTCCACCAGCTTTTGCTTTTTTTTAATCTTCATCCCATTGCGGTCAATAGATTCCGACTCATAGCGACCCTATAGGACAGAATAGAACCACCCCCATAGGGTTTCAAAGGGTGTAAATCTTTACAAGAGCAGACTGCCACATCTTTCTCCCACAGAGCGGCTGGGGGGTTCGAACTGCCAGTCTTTCAGTTACCAGCTGAGCACTTAACCACTGCACCTCTGTTTATGCTCCAAAAATCAAACACAAAATGCTCATGGTCTGCTCTCGTCTGCGAAATGGGACGAGCAGCCTTGGTTCTGTGCAGGGTGGTTGTGCAGATGTGAGGGGGCTCACACGGGCCAGGCATGAGGGGCAGGGAACACCAGGGAAAGGAGACACAGGGCTCAGCAGGGTCACCTGCCCACCAGAGAGCCCTGGGGGTCCTTGGCAGTGGCAGAGGCTGTTGTTGATGAGGTCAGGGAGGAAGGAGAGCCTGATGAGAGGTGAGGACAAAGTCTCTGCCCAACGCCCGGGGGGCCCGCCCCAGCCAGCAGCCTCCCTTGAACCTACAAACTCACATGCATGCTCTCACGCTCACATGCACTGACACGCGCGCACACACACATTCCCAGCTTCCTCAGACCTTCCTGGGGGCAGACACCCAGGGACTGGCATCTGGGAGAGCTGTGGGCTCCAAGCAACTGGGCGTGTGCAGCCCCCAGCTCTGCTATTTAAAGGCGAGGATTGACCCTGGGGCTGTGACTCGCCATAACTGTGACACTCACTCTTTGCACTTCATTGGACACGGAGTGCAGCCATCAGCCCCAAGAGCAGCTCCAGGCAGGAGCAGGAGGCTGGTGCGCTGGGCAGGGGTGCTGAGAAGGTGGGATAATGGGGAGGCTAGACACAAAGTCCTGAGCTTCCCAGGCCGTTGACTTCTCCATAAGCTCGAGAAAGGACCATCCCCACGACAGGATGAACCCTTGGGGGCCAAGAGTTCCGTCAGGCCCAGCCCAGGAGCCCAGCTGTGTGGCCACCCCAGCCTCAGCCAGCAGGTGGAACAGCTCCCCGGCCAGCGCCTCCAGCCTGGGCGAGCTTCCTCCCAGCAGCCCCACGGTAAGCCTGGCTCACTCCTGGGGCAAATAGGGGCTTTGACGGGGCAGGGGGAGGCCAGAGCTCTTCTGTGAGGCCTTGGACATGCTACTGAGCCTCCCTGAGCCATCCTCCCCATAGAGAGTACTGAAAAGCTAGCCTTGAAGGACACGGGGCTGGAATTGCCCAGACCTGCCCTTGCCTGTGCCCAGTCCTTACAGGGGATGGTGGGATGCCCTGTGGAGCCTTCCAGAGAGGAACCAGGAAAGAAGGGTCTTTCATGATATATACCCTGGGCCCCTTGATGTGTCCAGCCCAGAGTGGGGCTTGGGGTGCCCTCTATTGCTTCCATCATCCTAGCTAGGGTCCCAGAGCCCATACTCCACCACCTCCACTGTGAACTGGTGAGGGCTGAGGGCCCCCTCAGACCCTGGGAGCCAATGCCCTTCCTGGGATGCTACCCAGGCCCTGGACAGGATGGGGACGCTCCAGTAGGTGTAGGGGCCTGGTGAGACAGAGGTCAGGCCTCTCCATCCCTAGCAAGTGAGGGCTCTTTAAATCCCTCTCTACTGGCCTCAGGGGGTCATAACCTCTTTGTGGTGACCCTGGGAGGCCTAAGCTTTCTTTATAAAGGGGGATACTTTCCCCCTCCCTCTTGCCAGACATCAAGGAGGTACTGCAGGGTGGGGGCAATGCAGCTTCTCCTTTGAGGCTTGGGAAGGGGTGGGACTCCTGAGCAGAGGGGTCCACCCTGCCCCTCCACCCCAGAGTCCCAGGAGACCTTGAAGACCATTGCTGCTATCTTGGGCACTTGGGACGGGGTCCATACTGTTGCCTTTGCCCCGGGGAAAGGTTGGGCCACCACGGCCGTGGCCCTGCATGCCAGGCACATGTGTTGGTCCTCCTGGCCTCCAGCCAGTGAACTGAGCCACTGCTAGAAGCCGTGCCCGTCTGTGCTGTGGGATGGCAGCCTGGGCTCGACTTCTGCCTTTCCATTCTGGCTCGGCCAGTTGCTAGCTTTGTGGGCAAGCAGCTTTGGCACTCTGAGCACCCTGACCCTTCCTTCCTAGGACGTTTGAAGGTGGCAGGGGATAAGGTGATGCCCTCGTTTCTGTCTCTCCACAGGCAGCCAGGGCTCAGACTGCTGCCTGGGTCCCCTTCCCCACGGTCGATGTTCCGGACCATGCCCACTACACCATGGGCACAGTGATCCTGCTAGTGGGGCTCACGGGGATGCTGGGCAATCTGATGGTCATCTACATCTTCTTCAGGTGCCTGGCTGGTGGGCTGGGGCCAGGGCATGGAGACAAGGCAGAGCATGAGAACAGGAACCTGGGTGCCAGCCCTGGCCAGGGCACTGTTGAGGCTGGGTGGGGAGGCCAGGCTAAGCCCTTGATGGCCTCAGGCCCAGGCCTTGGTCCGTAAGCCCAGGGAAGGCAAGCTTGAATGGCACATGCCATTGGTCCCCAGACCCAAGACACCCAAGTCTCTGCCCATTCTACCCAGCTCTCAGCTGGCCTCCACCATCGCCTGCCCCAGGGCATCCTCCCTGTGCTTTGAAGAGCAGCCCTGGGCACCAGGGTCCTGAGTTTTCAAGCCCCTCAGCAACCACCCACGAGGCCCCCCTTTCCTCTTGGCCCCCACGGCAGCCTGAATGGCTGAGCCAGGCAAGTGCGGAAGGGAGCCCAGGCCCCATCACCTATCAGCAGAATGGTATGGGGCAGTCTTTTGTCCTCTTTGAGCTCACTTTTCTCGTCTGCAACACAGAGTTGTGATTTATTTCATGGGGTTCATGTGACGATCAGGTAAGTTCACGCACCTGCAATGCCCCGCAAGTAAGGGTTTGAATCCTGGCGCCACTTACTAAGTTTTGTGATCTGGAGTAAGTCACTTCACGAGTGGAGCCTCGGTGTTCTTATCTGGAAAATGGGCCTAACGGAGCCTCCCTCGGGGGTAGCTATGAAGATGGATGATAACAGGGGCGAGGTTTGTGAAACGTCGAGCAGCACGCCTGGCCTGTGTGCACTAACACAGTTCTCTCCCCTCTGCCACCCCTGAGGGTGCGGACCACCAGGACAGCTGCACTGAGCAGGAGCCTGGGCCAGGCCAGGACCCTTGAGGAAGAGGGCTGAGGGTGGAGGGAGACCGAGAGGAGAGAGTCTGGGTGCACAGCAGGGGGAGCCTAATGGAGGAGGCCTGGGGGAGGCCTTTGTCAGCAGGGGCTCAGGAAAGCAAGGGTTTTGTCCAAGGAGTGAGTGTGCATCATGCAGAGGGAGCCAAGGGAGTGAGAAGAGGAAATGGACACAGCCCAAGAGGCAGCCTCCGTGGGGCCTCACGGCAGTTCCAGAGGGCATTGCTCTCCCGGTTTCATTGCGAGGGAGCCACCCCGGGAAGACAAGGGCTGCTTGCTGCCCTGGGGTTTCTCACTCCTCAGCCAGTATGGCTAGACCCAAAGGCTGCTTAGCTGGTACTTGCTGGACAGCTGGATGGGTCTGTAGCCCAGCAGCTCATGCCTGTGTACATGCACGTGTGTGCATGTGTGTGTATGCATGTGCGCATATATGCAGTGTGTGTGTGTGTGTGTGTGTGTGGTCCCACATGTATATACAAGTGCACAAGCATTTGTGTATGTATGTGTGTTATGTGTGCACATGTATGTGTGCATGCATGTGTATATGTGTGTGCATGAATGTATGAACTTGTATGTGGTTGAGGGGTAAGGGAAGCCCCCCAGCAGAAGCACCTCCTAACAGCCTGTGACCTCTCCCAGGAGCAGAGGACTCCGGACCCCCGCTAACATGTTCATCATCAACCTTGCTGTCAGTGATTTCCTCATGTCCTTCACCCAGACCCCCATCTTCTTCGCCAGCAGCCTCTATAAACGGTGGCTCTTTGGGGAGACAGGTAGACACTCAGGGCTCCCTTTGGCTGGAGGGAGGAGGAGGGTTGAGACCAGGGGATGCCCACAGTGGAGGGAGCCCAGATGAGGAGACGATTTGGTCTTCCTGGGCAGGGAGTGGGTTGCTGCTCTCAATAACACAGCCGGTGAGTGCTGGAGGGAAGACTCGGGTTCAGGTCCTGAGGCCTCTGCCGTCCTCTGGTGGCCTCTGCTGGCCTCTACCCGAGGTGGCAAGCAGGCAGGGTGGAGAAAGGTCCAGGCCTTTCTGGGAGGTAAGGGCAGGAGCTGAGCAAACTCTATCCCCAGACCCTCCCTCCACTTGGTACATGATGGGCACCCTCTCAAGGACTGAGGTCAGGGGGCTGTGCCCACAGGCTGTGAGTTCTATGCCTTCTGTGGAGCTCTGTTTGGCATCACCTCCATGATTACCCTCACGGCCATCGCCCTGGACCGCTACCTGGTGATCACACGCCCACTGGCCACCATCGGTGTGGTGTCCAAGAGGCGGGCAGCGCTTGTCCTTCTGGGCATCTGGCTCTATGCCCTGGCTTGGAGTCTGCCACCCTTCTTTGGCTGGAGTAAGTGGGCTGGTAGAATTGGGGGAGGGGCAGATAGGCTGGGAGGGGCGAGTTCAAGAGTCATGCAGGTGGGCTTGGGTCTGCCAGCTGGCAGGAGGGGCCCAGGGACAACCTGAGCCTCTAGTCAGATGGACAATGAGGGGCATGACTCCCAACAAGGGAAACTGAGGCTGCACTGTCAGGGACCAGAGGGGAAGACCACATGCTGGGTTTGCAATGAGTCGGATTAGGCAGGGCATTGGGGTGTGAGGCCTCAGCAAGTAGGAGGGCACCAGCCCTCTGGAGTAGCACCTGGAAGCTGGCTGAAGCTTTGGAGAGTAAGACCCTGGGGCCGTGGTGAGGTCTATGCTCCCAGCTATGAAGCAGCGGTAACCTGGGCTGTGGCCAGCTGTCTCTCAAGCTGATGCCCCTGCCAGACCAGCTTGGGAACGCCCTTCTCCATCCCAACTGCCCTGGGTGTCATTGCACTGGGCAGGGTAGGGCTGGGAGCACACACAAAGTCCCTGGGGGGGCGACAGGTTGGAACCAGCCCTGAGGGTCCAAGGCCATCCCACTGAGCACCTGCCCTGGCTCCCAGGTGCCTACGTACCCGACGGGCTGCTGACGTCCTGCTCGTGGGACTACAGGAGCTTCACACCCTCGGCCCGCACCTACACCATGCTCCTCTGCTGCTTTGTGTTCTTCCTCCCCTTGCTCATCATCATCTACTGCTACGTCTTCATCTTTAAAGCCATCCAGGAGACAGGCCGGTAAGAGCCAGGCCTAGACGAGAACTGGGCGGGCGGGTGGGGGGCCGTGCCCCTCCTGCCAGGGCTGCCCCTGGTGCCGGCAGGCAAAGGTAAGCTGAGAAGATGTGCTCCTGGCCTGGGGGGCCTAAGAGTCGGTATAAGGAACCTGGGGGAGGGGCTTTAGGCTTGATCTGGGGACCCCAGGGGCCAGAAAAGGCACCACAACAGAGAACTTTCCAGGAGTCAGGGCTGCCTGCACTGGAAGGGATGACACCCCTCGAGGGATGGCCCAGGAAGGCACCCCGAGAGTAGCCGTGACCCTGTCTGCATTGCAACCCAAGTGGGGTCAGACCTGGACTCTGCCCCTTCTAGGGCTCTGCAGACCTTCGGGGCCTGCGAGGGGGCCAGTGAGTCCCCACGGCAGTGGCAGCGGCTGCAGAGTGAGTGGAAGATGGCCAAGATCGCACTGCTGGCCATCCTACTCTTCGTGCTCTCCTGGGCCCCCTACTCCACCGTGGCCCTGGTGGCCTTTGCAGGGTGAGCAGTGGCTAAGGGACTGGGGCTGGGGCTGAAGGGGAGGGTAAGGCAACTTGCGGGCAGCCTCTTCCTTCCCGGCCTAGGCCCAGGGCCAGCTGTTCTCACACCCTGAGACTGGCTTCGCAGCCTTATTCTCTCCCTGGCAGGCAATGCTCCACCCCAGGCAGGTCTGCTTAGTTCCTGGGGGTATCAGGACACAAGCTGAGGGAGCTCTGGGCCACACCCATATTCAGCCTATGGCCTGTGAGGGCTGCCAGGTCCTGTGAAACCCCTGGGAGACATGCAGATCTCCCCGAGATTCCGGTTCTCTCTCTGCCTGGGCTGTGGGCACAGAGCCAGGGGTGCTGCTCACCTCCAGGAATGGGTCCCTAAGAGCTCCCACCAGTCCTTTGTGGCTAGAGTCTGGGGACTTTGGAGTCTGCAGAAGCATGGACCTAGGCCAGACTTCAGAAGAACTTTTGAGACAGTGAGAGCTATTAAACCTTGGACGGTGTGGGTGCCGCACCTCCTCGTCGTGCAGGAATGGCCCATCTGGTCTCAGCCCTCCTGAGAGGGTACTCTAAGAGAACCAGGGGAGCAGGTGGGTGGGAGGGCTGGGGTAGGCATGGGGAGAGCTGGGCAGAGGGCCTGAGGACCAGGGTCAATGGGGCTGGGTGCAGACTCCTCACCTGGGTTGTCGCCAGCAGCACAGGCTCCAAGGGACAGTGGGACTTTTCAAACTGCACCCCCAGCCTGTTTCTTCCTCCCAAGGCCCCTCTCTCAACCACTCCCCAGGTTCCCAGTCACCTTTGTCCTGTTTAATTTTAACCTCAGATTAGAATTGTCTCTGGCATGCCCAGTCCCCGCCTATGGAGCAAAGGTAGACTGAGCTAGGCTGGGCTGGGCTGGGCAGTCCCCCTGGCAGGGCCCGGCCTAGAGGGAAAGGCCCCTGAGAGGGTGGATGGTGGGCTGTAGAGCCTCCAGGGAGGGCCAGTCAGCAGACCACATCTTCTCTGTCCCAGGTACGCACATGTCCTGACACCCTACGTGAACTCAGTGCCTGCCGTCATTGCCAAGGCCTCTGCCATCCACAACCCCATCATTTATGCCATCACCCACCCCAAGTACAGGTGCGACCCTCCTCCAGGCCCCCAGTCCATTGCCCCCAGGCCCAGCCCCATGGGCCTGGAGGTTCTGGGCCTGCAAACCAAGGGTAGAGACCAGCCATCTTTTCTGCCTCTTGATTGTGCATTGGGCAGGGGCCACTAGCAGCTGGAAGCAGCCTCTGACACTGGATGAAGTCTGGAGTTGAAGTGCCCCTCCCCTGCCCCAGCTTCCCAGGGCCCAGCTTGGAGGGATGTCAGGGCTCTCTGGACAGTGTCCCGTCCTAACTGTGGAACCTCAGGAGCTGGGGCCAGCAGATTGGCAGTACTGTCAGCTGGGAAGCAACCCACTAGACAGTGTGTCCTAGAAAAACCACAGCAGGGGGCACTTGATCTGCTTAAAGGGCCCTGGCAGAGGGCTGGGGGAGGTGACTCTGGCCCAGTGTGCTCTTTGCTGATAAGAACCCCAGTGTGGTGGCCTCACCCACAACGGGGCCTTCAGTGCTTCCCTCTGCCTGGAGGTGTCAGTAGCTCACTACCTGGCCTGAAGCTAGCCCGGGCCTGAGCCCATCCAGCTCAGAGCCTGCTCAGATGTGTCCCTCACCCCATTGCAGAGATGTGGCTTGGCCCAACCACTAGAGGGGCTGTACTGATGTCTGCCTGACTGAGTTTTTGTATGTGTGTCCATCTCCACCAGCACTGTGAGTCTGTCAGGCCCCTTCACCTCAGCATCTGTCTGTCCTTCCTTATCACCACCAGTGACTCCCAGTATCTTTCTGTCCATTCTCATCATCCCAGCATCTGTCTATCCTCGTAACCCCAACGTCCGAGGTTCCCCATTTCCCCAGTGGCTCTATGTCCACCCCCATTAGCCCTGTTTCAGTATGTCCATCCCTTCCCATCACCTCCCCCCACCTTGTGTCTGTCTGTCCACCTACCCCCTGCCCTAACCAGATGTGCTGCCACTGCAGAATGGCCATTGCTCAGCACCTGCCTTGCCTGGGGGTGCTGCTGGGAGTGTCAGGCCAGCGCACCCGCCCTTACACCAGCTACCGCTCCACTCACCACTCCACCCTGAGCAGCCAGGCCTCTGAACTCAGCTGGATCTCCGGACGGAGGCGCCAGGCATCCCTGGGCTCTGAGAGTGAGGTGGTAAGGACCTTGGGGCCCCTGCTGGCTGGTACCTGGTCATCCTTTCCTCAGCCAGGCCGGGCTCAGTGCTCCAGGAGGCACCTGGGCCCACGCAAGGATGCCTCCGAGACTCAGAGTTTGGGACACTCAGGACCCTGGACCACCGGCAGGAAGAACTGCCCACAACCTCTTTATAGCCTTCTCGCGCATCATCCTCACCGACAGGCCGGGCTCTGGGGCCGGAGAGGGCAATGGAGCCACCTGAGGTTCCCCATCAGCAGACCAGGGCTGAATACAGGTCTCTCAATGCCATGCCATGTCCTTTTCCATGCAGACACTGTCCCTGTGGCTTAGAGCCACAGACAGATCTCAAGAGACAAGGCAAGAGCCAGCTCAGAGTCCCTTGTCCCCTCAGCATTGAGACCCTCTCTTTCTGGGAGCCTCAAGGAATCCACAGGATGCAGTGGAAGGGGCGCTGGCCCTGGAGGCAGGAGACCTGGGTTCACACCCCAGCTCCACTACTGCTCACTATGTGAGCTTGGACGAGTCACTCACCTTCTCTGAGCCTCCAGGTCCACCTCTGAAAATGGAAAACGGTCATTTCTCTACCCAAGAGTGGCTAGAAGATAGTGGGTGTGCCCATGCTTGAGTGCTGACCCATGGGTTGTGGCCGTCCCTGGAAGCCTCCAGCCTGGTCAATCACTGTCCGGGGCCTGGGGCTGTGAAGCCACCTGATGCCCTGCACCTAGGGGTCCTATCCCAGCCACACTCGGAAACCTCCATTCTGCCTTCTGTGGGCCTCACCAAGGGCCCTGTGGACCAGCAGGCGATCTCCTCCCACTGGCCCCCATCCCTGAGGGTCCCAGTTAAGGGAGGAGCTGTCAGGTATTCCCTTCCTTCAAGGAACCATTGTCGTGAACTATAAGGAGTGAATCTTATCTGTTAACCGAGGCTTAGATCCTCAGAAAGACACATCAAACAAAATATAAACACTCACATGCGTAAGAAGACACGCACATCACAGTTTCTCCCTCACACACACACACACACACCTCTCACACACACACTTTCACTCTCTCACGCACACACTTTCTCACACACACACATTTTCTCCACACACGCACACACTTTCTGTCTCTCTCTCTCACACACATACACACACACAGTGGCACACGCACACACAACTTGCCGGTATTTGGTAACCAGTGACCCTGCAGTGTTGTGGGCCTCACCCCAATGAATTTCCACAGGAAGCATGGAAAAAGGCTTGGTGGGGGGAAGGGCAGGAGCAAGGCTGTGGAATGTCCCTCCCACCTCACAGTGACTCTCTGACCTCCCCAGGGCTGGACGGACACAGAGGCAGCAGCTGCATGGGAGAGTGCCCAGCAAGTGAGCGGACGAGCCTCCTGCTATCAGGACCTGGAGCACATGGAAGATTACACCCCTCCCAGGCCCCAGCAATGGAGACCAGAGACTCCCAGGAAGGTGACTGGGCCTGACCCCTGCCAGTGTGTACAGGGGTGGAGAGAATGGGCAAGTAGCCCAGGGAGTGGCCAGGAAAGGGGCCCTTGTTCTCAAGGGCAGGCCCAGTACCCTCTGGGAATTGCCCCCTCCCTGCACCTGCCAGCTTTCCCTTGGCTGACTGGGGGGTCTGGGGGCCTGTGTGACTCCAAGATGCTCTGAGCAGGGCCTGAGTGTGTCTGTGTGTGGTTATGTGATGTACTATGCACGTATGTAGCAGATGTCATTGCTAGCTATATTGTACTATGACCAATGTATGCCATGTATACAAATGTGTACGACCGTGGGAGCTGTACATCTGTGTGACCGTGTGTTACTGTGACACCTCAGGGCACGTGGCTGAGTGTGCCACAGTTGGTCTACTCGAAGCGTGAGTGGTGTGTACCTCTCTGTGTGACCTCGAGGCCCAGGACTGGACATACCTGGTAGGGGTCTCAGCAGCAGGGAGAGGGAAACTGTAAGCTGTATATATACTCAGTATAAATGCCCCAAGATCAGGATGTCATCCAAAATACTCGTGGCTATTAAAAGCAGGCCAGCTGTCAGGCCAAGTGCCTATGGAACGGAATGTTGATGGTGATTAGAGAAGACGATATTCTGGAACACTGGAAATGCCATGTGCATAGGCTCCCAGGGCCGCCCTTCCCCCTCAGCTGACAACTCCCGGCCGTGCCCCTCCACTCACACCCACATGACACCCCCAGTGTCCTCTGGTCCTCCAACCCAGCTCCTGGGCTCTCTCGGGCTTCCCCTGCAAGCCCAGGACCACAGGCACTTTTCTACCTTCCTTCTGCCAAGGCCACTCCCCTGCGTATCCCTGAGAGGGCGCCACCTGGGGCTGCTTCCTGGGGAGATTGAAGCCCACCCCACAATGTGGAGCCTCTGCGTCCCCCAGCATTCCCATTCCGGGGACCGCAGGGAGGACTCACTCCCTGTCCCTGAGCACTGTGGCCAGCGGAGGCCAGCACAGAGGCCTGGCAGGGACACCCAGGCCGGCCGGGGCAATGATGAAAGACAGCGACCATCCAGGAGGAACTCCAGGGCTGGGGTGGGGGGTGGGGAGTGACAGCACATCAACTGTCACCAAATGTGTATGATAAGTACTACCATCAAGGTATGGGCATGCAGGATGCTGGAAGCAGGGGCAAGTCCCCAGGGAGAGCCTCCCAGGGACAGTGAAGGTAAGGCTGGGATTTGCCAGTGGCGACAGAGCAGGAGGTGGGTATTCAAGCAGAGGAAACAGTGCAAACACAGTGAGGCACAAAGGAGCTCTGGGACAGAATGGTGTTCTGTGGCCCTGCCTGGGAGGTGGCGGTGGGGACACAGAGGGCTGGGGGTGTGGGACTCAGGAGAAGGGAGGAGAAGTAGGAGTTGGTAGGAGAGGAGGGGAACCTGATCACACAGGACTTCAGGCGTTGGCATGAGAGGTCTCCTGGGTCCCTGCGATGGTTTAAATGGGGGCGGGGCAGGGCCAGCCTTGCACTTGGCTGGGACCCTTGGCAGTGGCAGTGCCGGGTTCAATGGAATGAGTCTGCCAGGAGAAGCCTGGCGGAAGCTGGTGCTGTAGGGCAGCAGGGGTAGAGGAGGGATGCAGAAGGAGTGAGGAATCTGGAGGTTAAGGATGAGGAAGGGTTCAGGTTCTGGAGGCCAGGCACTGAGGTGGAGACACTGGGGAGGAGCAGTGGGGGACCTAAGGGACCCCCAGGGGCCCATCCAACCGGAGCCTTAGACATTCCTGGCTGGAGCTCGGGAGAGAGGCCCGGCTGTGGACTTCCTGACCCAGGATACAATTGGCCCTTCCCTGCCAGCCTCCCTCCACCGCTGGATGACCCCAAACCCAGAGGTTCCTTGGGAGAGCGCTCAGACTGGGACAGTCCTTGGGCTAAACAGATGTGTGCTGTTTGTTTCCAGGCTGCCCCCGAGCCGCAGGGCTCGGGGTGCCCCACTGGCTCTCCCTTTCCTCTGGGACACATCCAGCCCCTCGCATCGCCCTCACACGCACAAACCAGGATTGCCCTGTGAGCCTCGGGTAGTGGGAGCAGCCCTGTCACCCGTGCTCTCCCCGACTCATGGCTCCTGCCACATCCCCTCCCCCGTACCACCAAACTCCTGCTCCTGCGAAGGGGATGCGCCCCTACTCCTCACCTCAGCAGCCAACACTGCCAGCGCCCCGCCTCCCCGCTTCCCGGGGCACCCGCATCTCCTCCAGTGCTATGTGGTGCGATCATTCGGGCAATGACAATGGTGATGGCTCCGGGGGACACATCAGCAATTTGTGAGCCAGGCTGCTCTACCAGGGGCCCTGCAGCCAGGCTGGGTGCTCTGCGGGCACAGGAGGACCGGCTGCCTCTCCCTGCCCACAGTCAAAGCTGAGCAGAGACCGCATTCCGTGCACTGGACACTGTGGGTCCCCTCTGGCCTCCTGCCCAGAGCACCGTCCAGCGTGCCGTTTCCTCTGCTTCCACACTTGTGCACACAAACGCTCCCCTGTGCGTACATGCCTACATGTACGCTGAGCATACATGCACACACTGCCCCTGGTCTGTTTCAAAGCAGCAGTCCAAGCTTATCCCAGGGTTATGCAGCTCTGACAGTGGTAGGAAAATAAAAAGCAAAAGTGTCCTCAGACAGATGTGGTCTCTACCTATTGGTGCTGCGATGGGAGAGAGAGCCAGGGCCGGCCTCGGATGATTCCAGCAGCTTCCCTGCCTCCTCCCTCTGTCCCCGACCTACAGCTCTCAGTCCTGAAGCCCCAGATCTCAAAGTGCAGGGGGGAAGCAGAGGGGATAAAGACCACTCCCCTTGAGCTGATGCGTTCAGGAAGCGGCCTCCGCCCAGCCTGTGGGGACCAGCTGGCCTGCCTTCGGGTCTCCCAGGGGAGACAGACAAAAGGAGATTGGCTTTACCTTTAAGAGTATCCTCCCCACTGCCCCTTCCTGTCCCCTGAGGTCAGCATCAGGTGGTGCCTGAGTCCAAAGAAAGAGCCTGCGACCCCAGGTACAGCCGAGCCGACCTATTGCACCCTCTCCCTGTTCAGGGTCTGTGCCTTCCTGTCCCCACAGTTCTCATGGCCCTGCTGCCAGGTCCTCCCTGGCTTGCAGAGCAGGATCCTCTAGGAAGGGGATATGGCTGATGGGATGGGAGGGGAGGGGATGTGGCCGCCATGGGACGGGGAATGGCATGGGGGAGGGACAGAGGCCTTGGCCATGAACCGCTGGCCTCCCAGGCCAGGCCAGGGCTGGGGCAGCAGGCTGGGCCGCATGATACAGGGCAGAGGAGGTGGTGGTGTGGATGGGAAGAACACTGATCCCTCCCTGGCTTCTTCCACTTGATTAATCTTGTAAACTTGGGCAAGTTACAGGAGTCCCTGGGTGGTGCAAACAGTTAAATGCTGGACTACTAACCAAAAGATTGGTGGTTCAAAACCACCCAGAGGTGCCTCAGAAGACGGCCTGGTGATCTGCTTCTGAAAGGTCACAACCAATAGAGTGGACTCCACAGCAACCGATTAACTGGGCAAGTGACCAAACCACTGTGTAATACGGGGACTTTTTCTCCAGTGTACCTGGTATGTGCCAGGTCCAGGATGTGTGGCTGGGGATGCTGGCAGCTGGGAAATTACTTACACACAGGCCTCCTCTGAGTCCTCAGCACCCAGCCCAGCTCAGGGCCAGAAAGCAACCCAGCTCAATTGCCTTTCCTGAGCCTCAGTTTCTCCAGCCAGAAAGCAGGCGTGGGCCTTGATCTCTAGACCGCATGCGGCCTGACATCTGTCCTGGGGAAACACTTCTGGAGGAATCTTGGCCCAAAGCCCACAGTGGCAGGAACTGGTCGTGAGACCCAAGGGGCCTGGCTCCCACCCAGAACATACTGTCTCTGGGTTAGGGGCTGAACACACCATACACGGCGCCCCCTCCCTACCCCTTCTGGCCCCAGGTCCCGGCAGCTGAATAAATGGCATCTCCTCCCTCCCCCGCCCCTGCCATTCCATTGCAAAGGGCACGGGCTGATGGTGACACAGGCAGCTGGAGCTTTCCAGGCTGCGGTCAAGTTTTCCAGAGCACACATGAGATAGGAGAGCCAGGAATAACCGCTGGACCCCCAGCGGGCCTAAGGGGCATGGGTGTAACCCTGAACCTACTTCCAGACGCAGGCCAAGGGGTGCAGGCAGGGGCCCAGCCCCATGAGTCAGGGCTTCAGGAGGGGCCTGTGGCCCCCATACGGTCCCCCCACCCTCTGGGGGCCATTATCTGGAGTTTCGCAGGATGCGTCCAGGCTGCAGAGTGGCCTGAATCTCCCCACTGTGTAACCCTGGAAAAGTTAGCCTCTCTGAGCTGGGGTTCCTGTGGGGGAGATGGCACCCTCTCCCGATCCGAGGGGATAGGGGTGTCGGGGTCCAGCCTGAACAACCCAGGCCAAGTCACCAGTCTCCTGTGCTGAAGTACTGTCCTGACCAGGTGGGGGCTCAGCCCCATCCTCAGCACCACCAGGGCCCCCACCATAAGGCACAATCTGAGTCCTCACCAGAGGCACAGGGCAGCCAAGACCCCAACCACAAAGCCCCTGCCCGGGGGAGCTCACTTTCTGGGCCCAAGGAGGGTATGGCTTGGCAGAGAGAGTTTGGGCTCTCCAGAGGAACAGAGGGAAGCAGAAGGCAGAGAGCAAGAGGTGAGAGCATTATCACCAACCTAGCCAGTCCCCCTTCCTGCCCCTGGGGGTGCTGGGTGTCGAGTACCCCTCCCCAGGGGCTATATTAGCCATGTGAGTCATGGTGGGAGGCCATGGGCGGGCGGGTGCAGTGTTGGGTTACAACCCATTTATGGGCCCAGCTGAGGGCAGATATCAGTGTCGATGGCATTCGCTCCAGCTATTCTTAGGAGCCTCTCAGGAGCTCCACACAGCCCGGCTGGGCAGCAGGAGACAGAGCAGGCAAGGCTCGCAGTGGGACCAGCGGCAGAGGTGGGCTGAGGGTGTAGGGTGCGTGAGGCTCCAGGCAAAGCACCCTCTCACCCGACTCTTTCTCTCTGCAGAGGCCGCAGCTGTCAACTCCAGCATGTCCTACAGCGTGACCCTGACCGGGCCTGGACCCTGGGGCTTCCGCCTGCAGGGGGGCAAGGACTTCAACATGCCGCTCACCATCTCCCGGGTGAGTGTGCACTGCCCACAGCCTGGCCTTGTGAGGGGTGGGGCACACTCAAGGAGGGGAGTGTGTGTCCGTCTGTCTGTCCTCCCAAGGCTCTCAGAAAGGAGAGCATGCCCCATCCCCAGTCCAGGGGCTGGGACTGAACTTGCTGAATACTGCCAGCCTCAGGCCAAGCTGGCCAGCCAGTCAGGAGTGGGAAATGTCATGGGCAGATGTCCAGTGTTTTGAGTAGAGAAGAAAATGCTGAGTTTGCAGAGCCAGCAGGTGGGCAGAGAGTAAGGTGCCTCCCTAAGCCCCTCCGAGTAGGATGGGATCCGAGTGCCCCCAAGCCTGGAGCATCTCTCTGGAAGTGGGCAGCTGCTCTGAGGGGAGAGCACCTCTAGCTTGGAGAGGTTGGTGACGGTCAGGTGAGCAGATAGATGGACGGACAGACTGCTGACCTTTGCTGCCCTGCCGTTGTGCCACAGGGCTGAGCTGGATGGGTTCCTGGGCTCCAGCAGCCGCTGTCTCCCAGACCGGGGATACCAGCCCCTCCAGGGACCTCACTGGCCGGCTCCTTCCCACTCACCCCTGGCTGTGTTGTTGCCTGTCTCACTTCATGTCCCCACTCCCCCCTGCACTGCCTGCAGGGGAGTGTACACCACATTGGAGTCCATCTAAGTAACTCCCATCGCCCGGCGGGAGCCACTGCAGCCCAGAGAGGTGTCGTAAGCTAGGGTGTGCTCGATAGTAAGCTCTCTATGAGTAGGGACTTGTTTTCATCACTGCTGTGTCCCCAGCACCTAGCAAGGTACTTAGAACATAGTGGGTGCTCAATAAATATGTGTCAAATAAAGGGAATCCCCAGCGAGTCCCTGGCAGAGCTGGGCCGAAGGCCCCAAGGCTCAGGCTGGGTAGTGAGATGTGCGAGGGGCTAGAACAACCCCTGTCTGGTGGGACAAGGTGGAGGCTAAGCACCTAGCAAGGTTGGTCTGAGCAAGAGGCACAGGATGAGGCCCAGTCTGTGACTGGAGGGTGGCAGATGGCAGGAGGGGGCGGTGGCTGCCTACCTGGGCACAGGGAGACAGTTTCTTCGTCAGAGCAGCCGAGACTGGCTTTGGGCAGGGGTGGAGGAGCACTGAAGTGGGCACCCATGGAAAGCCTGAGAGGTGCTGGCAGAGATGCAAGTAGGCAGGCCCAGAGCACAGTGGCAGAGGGTCAGGGGCCAACAACCCCACTGGAGGAGCAGTCTTGGTTCTTGAACCCATGTGGGCACTTGAGGGTACCCCCAAGAAGGAGAAGCCCCACTCAGCCACAGTGGCAACATGCCCCCAGGATGGGGCTGCTGGCCTGGCTCTAGCCTAAGGAAAAAGCCTTGCCTTCCATCCTTTGCTGGAGACCCAGCTAATTCTATCCTAGAGTCTCCACTTTTCTAGGCCTGCTGCCCTGGAGACCACAGACTTGCACTGAAAAGAAAGCCCAGAACCCTGCATACCTCTCCTGGGGATGTGTGGGCCCTTGAGCCCAGGGACACTGCCCCAGGCCTCTACACAGCTCCCACCCATGGTTGCAGGTCTCCCCCTATATGAGGTGGGTCATCCACCCTGACTCTCAGGTCCCGGCTTCCCACACCCAGGACTGAGGCCAGGTCTCCTCCAACCCCAGCATCCTCAAGATCTTCTGTTGGCGCCCCCTGCCCTATCCCTGGGGACAGAAATTAGCCCTCGCGGCTTAGTGGCACCCAGGATAGCCAATTACCTCACCCAGGGTCTATGTGCCACCTGGCCTTAGCCAGCCAAGGGCTTAAATTGCAGCACGGAGGCTTTAAGCTAGACAGCAGGACAAATGTCCTCCCTGCAGGGAGGCAGTGTGTAGGGATCTACTGGAGCCAGTGACTAGGCGGACTTTTAAAAATAGAAACTGCTGCTCAGGCAGGGCTTCAGTGGTTGGATGTGATGGCTGCCGGCTTCCTTCAGGGGCACACCCCAAGTCACCAAGGCCATGAAGCAGGCTGGGCTGGGTGCGGAGGCCCTCCGCAGCCTCAGAGCCTCTTAATGATGCCCTGGGCTCAGGTGTCCCAGGCTCGGTGCCTCACTGAAGGAGTGAACACACTGCCTCTCCACCCACCTGGGTTGTGGGGTCTTGCTGGGGCTCTCAAGACACTTCTGCAGCAGCATCACCCCCTAAGGGGATGCAGAGCCCATGTTTCTGGAGGAACCCCACTCCCACCCAGCCTCACGCACTTCCCACACCGTGCCAAGGGCAGGGTGCCGCTGGGGCATCCTGGCCAAGCCTTCGCTGCAGATACCAGTGGGAGTTATTGCAGTGGGGACATTAGCAAAGGCACAACCTGTCGGTTCTCAATGGGGCTGGCAACCACTGCACACATTCCCGACAACCCTGGGGGGGTCAGGCAGGCAGGGTCGGGACGGCCCATATCACTTCGGAGCCAGGCAAACCGAAGCCCACATTTGCTACAAGAGGAAGATGGCATGGGGTGGAGCTTCTGTGTCCTTGGGAAGCCCCTAGCTCCTACACCTGCCCACTTCACCCCTCTGACCTTGACCGATGGACTGGAAAAGCCCCCCCCCGGCCCCCCATCAGCTGCAGACTTTTCCTGTAAGAAAGCCCACCCACCCGCCTGCCCAGGGCTGGGGCAGCAGCCACCCCCCCACCCTGGTCCCAGGCCCCCGCCCTTCACCCCCCCCACACTGGTCCCAGGTGCCCGCCTTTTACCCTGCCCCACACTGGCCCCAGGTCCCTGCCCTTCACTCCCCCACCACTGGCCCCAACCTGGGGCAGGAGCAGCCCCTCAGGTCCTCTCAGGAAGTGTGGGCAGGAACCAGGAGGCTGCCCTTCAGTGGTTCACAGCCTAAGGGCCCTAGAAAACGGTTCAGGAGACTGGAGGGTGGAGGGGAAATGCCTTTATTTATCCCGGACAGGTGGGTCGGGGCGTGTAACATGAGCTGCGCCCCACTCCCACCCGCCCAACCCCAGCCGCGCTCCAGGAAGTGGGGGAGGGGAGGGGCAGCCACCCAGGGAGCCGCTGAAAGGCTCAGCCCAACCCCAGCCCGGCTGGCCCCGCAGCTCGGCCAGAGGCTGGCCCAGGGCCTGGGGTTTTGCCCTTCTGTACCTTGTTTCTGCAGCTGGCTTTACTCAGAGAGACAGATGCTTTCATTTGGCTCTGCCGCTCACAGCTGTTCCCCTTGGGAACACAGGTCAGCTTGCCTCTCTCAGGTGTTTTCTTACCTGTAAAATGGGGACAATGCCTTCGTGAAAGCGCGTGTCAGAGGTACTTTCTGACATGCACTTGTGAAAGCACAGTCCACCTGTTGTTCAGCAAGGAATGGTCGGGGGGCTGAGGGAGGTAAGAGGCCTGCCTCTCTGCTTGCTGGCCCCCACCCCTTAGGACCTCTCCCCACTGGCCTCGTAGGTCCGCCTGGGGCACCACTCCACCAGCCTCAGCCCCTCTGCCATTGCGTGTTTATCAGATTTTCCCAGGAACAGTGGAGATGTTGAGGACAGAGGCTGCCCAGGGAGGGGTAGGGGGATCGGTCGGGACTATTCTGGGGCAGCTCTGCCAGCAATTCCTGGAATTTTGAGGCCGCTAGAGCATAGTGTGCTGTCTTTTGGGCAGCGCCTAGCAGTGCTGACAGGCCGTGCTGTTTATAGCTGCGCTGAAGGTCAGGTGAGCCTCCCAGGGCTCCTTCGGGGCCTGGCTTCTCTAACTGGAACGCATGCTAAGAGGCTCCCCAGCTCAGCCATCTCCTCCCACACTCCCCTTCCTGGGGCTCAGAGCTGACCCTGACCTGACGAGGGCTCTGGAGGGAGCAGAAGGACCCTGGCTGGGTCCTAAGGGTGAGCTGGGAGTGCCCTCCAGCCTAGGAGAGTCCTCCCAATTCCCTGGGTCTCCTCCCCCCTCTACGTGGTTCCTCTCATCCGGGGCTCCCGTGAGTGCAAAGGTCCCCATCCCAGGCTCTCTCATTCCCAAACACAGCTTCTCTTCCCCTCTAGAGCCAGGCTGGCCGCTACTTCCCCGAGAACCATCCTAGGAGGCATGGGTTGTACCAGTGCTGTCTGGGCATCATTGAGTGTGACATGTCCACAAGAGAGGTCCAGGGCATACAGGACGAAGATGGAGCTATGGATAGGAGGAGGAGGAGAGAGACAGTGGCTGGAGGTGAGGCAGAGGAGACTCAGGGATGGAGAACGCTTCCAGAAGGGGGTGGCCATCTAGAGGGCTGGGCAGTGACCCCCAGCTTTAGGCACAGGGAAGTCACTGGAATGTGTGAAATGGAGAGGCAGAAGTCAGACAGCTGAGCATGAAGATGGGGACAGTGGAGGCAGGACCTGCTGGTCACTTCTTGGAGAAGTCTGGGTGTGAAGAAAAGGAGAGAAACACAGCAAGAGCTGGGTGGGGCAGCGAAGACAGGAAAGACTTTTAGGATAGAAGAAACTGTGGCTTGTTTATCTGCCAGGATGGTGTTGGGGAGCGGGGCCACAAGGAGACAGAAGGTTTGAGTGAGAGAGTGAGGGATGGAGCAAGGTCCCAGGGGAGGCCAGATGGGAAGGGGGCAAGCACAGCAGGGCCGGTAATTCAATCATTCCATGTTAAAATACATTTTCATTTAGTGCTCCCGGGGAAGGACCTGGGGTGGCCAGCCGAGGGGGTTGGGAGGAAGATTCTGGAAGTCACACATCCACTACCTGCCCTCCCCTTCTCCCCATACCTCTATACGGGCAGATCTAGAGGGGAAGAAATACCATCAGGGGCCTGTCTGGCCTGGGGCACTGGCCCCAAGACCCCAGAGGGGTGGTTCAGATGATGTCCAGAGCTCTCTGCGGAGTCCAGCTGCCCTTCCCACTGTGGGGAGTGGGGAATTAGGAGCTAACGGCACGGTGCACCTGGAGCCCCGGTGGGCACCTTTTTTCCCTGAAACCCTGGACGGAACTTTTCTCCCCTCCTCCATGATGCCCCTCAGGGACCCAGCCCTCTGCCAGCACCAGGGGATGTGGCCTGCTAGCTTCAGCTCCTCTGGCACTTCCTGGGAAGGGGCCAGGGCCAGCATCTGCACTAAGGGCCCCTTAGGTTTAGAACTTAAATTTTCTCAGCTCTGCAGCCTCCTTACACAATCCCTGTCTGATAACATAATACTCACAATAACCTGAGAGAAAGGCATTTCTTTTTACACTAAAGGATGTGGAGGTGGAAACTAGACCCCCATAGTAGGCTCATACCAAAATCCATGCTCCTGCTGTTTGCCGCCTCCCTCCCAGGCACCCGCAGGTGGCTTTGGCCACAGTGGCCCCCTGGCACCCAGCCCCTCCTGTGCCCCCCTCTGGGATGCCCTGAGACCACGCCCAGCAAGGTGGGGGGACTTCTTCAGGCCAGGAGGCTGAGCCTGTCCTGGGAAGATGAGACATCAGGGGTCTCTGGCTTCTGCCCAGGGCAAGTTCCCTGATGCGTAGGAGCTGCTGACTGAAGACTGGAAAGTGAAATGGGAAGAAAATTTTCCTAGGAAAGAGCTGCTAAATGTGCTCAAAAGGAGATAGAACTGAAAAAAAAAAAAAAAAAAATACCCTCCAGGGATTTAGCCACCTTGGGTCCTTTCTGGAACAAAGTAAGGAGGAAGAGGGGGATAGACAGTCAGACGAGCTGCTTGGCTCTGTCATCCCAGCACCTAGCATCTCACGAGCCCTGAGCTCTGAGCAGGCTGGTCCTGCTTCGGGAGGTGAGGAGGACCTGATGGTCCTTGCCCCAAGTGCCCCTGCCTCCTGCTCTAAAGAGGCATGGACAGAGCTAGAAGAGACCATCCCTGAAAGAGGATATCAGCATTGCTGCCCCCCTGAGGGATCTTGGGTCGTGCCCAGGGCAGCCAAAGACCTGAGCCAGCTGAGCCCTGACGGGCAGGGGCAGGTGTGGGGACAGCATGCCAGGCACCAGTGTGGAGGCTCCCCCTCTGGGGTGTTTGGTTGCTGACCAGGCTCAGGGGAGGCTGAGCTCTCCCGCAGAAGCAAGAATCGCCACAACGCATACCTGAGGATAAGGGGGAGCAAGGCAGGACTGGGCAGGGGAAAGAGCTAGAGATTCAGCAGGAAGGACAGGTGCTAACCTGCCCAAGCCTACAGGAGAGATATGCCCACAGCAGCTCCAAGGGAGGACACTTCAGGTGCCCTGCACTTGCCCCAGCGGATCTGGCCTCAGCCTCCCTTGGATGTCATTCTGGTGTCCTTGCTCACAGCATGGTCCGTGATCTTCTGGACACAACCTCAATCCTGCCTGGAGGACATCACCTCTATAGGCTGCAGGCCCAGCCCTCCTGTCTGGGGTCTGCAGCTGTGCCCCTACAGAAGTTCCCTGCTGCATGGTGATGGCCCCTGCTCTGTAGATAGTTAGAAGCATCTGGGGGAAGCCCTGTTGTGGGGGAGCCCTTCCTGGGGGAGAGCCTTGCTCGGGGGGAGCCCAGCTGGTGGGGGCCTGCTAGGGGGTGCCCTGCTCTACAGAGCCCCAGGTAACCCAACAGGACAATAGAGGCATACTGCATAGTTCACCTTGAATCGAAACATACCGGTGTCTGCATCTTTCTTTGAAATGCTTCAGAAATAAGATGGATGGATGGATGGATGGATGAAAGGCTAGAGGGACAGATGGGTGATAAAGTAAGTGCAGTAAAATGTTAGAGCAGAACTGCAGTGGTAGGGATTTGGGTGTTCACTGTAAAATTCTTTCAGCTTTTTTCAGTTTGAAAATGCTTATAATAAAATTTTGGGGATAACAGCCCTGAATGTGAAGCCAGGTGTAGGGAAAGGCAATTTTCTGCAGGGTAGGCTGTCTGGGCAGCTCAAGATGCCCTCAGGAGGCCCCTGTCCATCTAGAAAAGTGTATAGTTTGGGGTTTTTACCCTTTGTTCAATCCCTACACTGGAAGGAAACAACACACTTCTGTCATTAGCAGAGTCTCTCTCTGGCAATGAATTTGTGGATAAGTGCCATGTGTATTTTGAAAAGTCCCAGGTAGTTCTAAGATGTCCCTATGTGAGCCTGGGGAGCATGCTGGACTTTGCAAACCAGATGATGTAGCTTCCTGGCAACCTTGGTGTTTCTCTGTTGTCCGTGCCCTCTCTCAGCAGATTTGGGGCTGAGGAGTTCTGAGCACACGTGGTCAGGGTTTAAGAAGGTGCCATAGTCCCTAGGGCTGAAATGGCTGGTCAGTGGTAGTTGACAAGAGCTCTACTGTCTTGCTGTGATCACTAGTATGGTGTAGGACAGTGTTTCTGTGACCAGTAGTGTGGTTAAGCAGAAGCCATTCAGTCCCTGGGCCGCCCTCCGGAGCAGATCTGGGACTGCAGGGCACCCTGGTTTGACCTGTGCCCAGAGTCAGTATGGATAGGAGTCCCCTGTGAGTGGGTCTGGCAGCAGGCTTCCAGCCAGGTGTCTGCAAGCCCAGAACCTGGCCAGAGGCCAACCCAGACTTAGCATGTGAGGGTCCTCTCTGGGCTCCTTCTAGGATGGTCTGGCTTCTCCCAGTACTAGAAGCCATCCTTGTCTCTGGGGCGTAGTCAGAAAGGTGACTGGGATGTGCTCCAGAGAAGCCAGGAGAACTGACTGGTGGGCATGTGAAGGAGGAAAATCCAAGGGACACCCTGCAGTCATAGCTGTGGGGGGGATCCCAGAGGCTCTTCTTTCCTGTGATGTCATTGGGGACAGGACCTCTATGGTGTTCCACATGATGTTATGGGGTGGCCTCCATGTAATGTCACAAGGTCAGGTCATAAAGTCATTCTATGTGATGTCATCATGGGATGGGACTTCCATGGCATTCCACATGATGTCATGGGCTGGCCTCCATGTAATGTCACAATGTCAGGTCATAAAGTCAATCTATGTGATGTCAGCAGGGACAGGGCCTCCATGGCATTCCACATGATACCACATGGGGGGAGGGGAGCCAGAGTCCCCATGGCATTCCATGAGCTATCTTTAGGAGTGGTGCTTTATCACCTTCCAGCAAATCATTTTAGGTGATGTCACTAGGCCCTCCAGAATTTTGCATTTCCTGTGATAGCACTGTGGGCAGGGTCACCACGGCATTCAGGCATTGTGCGTGATGTCACTGAGACTGGAGTCTGAGCCACTGTGGCACACTAAGTAATGTCCTTGGGGGAAAGACCTTCCTGACATTCCCTGGGTGTTCCTGGGGCAGAGCCTCCAGGGAGCAGGGCCTCCAGACCCTAACATTCTGTGATGTCATTGGGGTGCAGAATTTAGGAACTGGTCCCCAACCTGAACTCCCCCTTCTGAAAGTATGAAGCAAACCATTGAGCACAAGCCCTGCCCTGTTTTCCAGCCAGTCTTGCCCTTGTCTGTGTAGCCTCCTGCTCCCCTAGGCAGGGCTAAATGTTCCCCCAATGCTCTGCCCGCCTTCAGTGGTAGCACTGAGCACCTGCACTACAACTCAGTAAATGTGCAGGTGAATTTCTCCTGCCTGCTGACCCAGAAGCGTCCCTGGAGTAGTGCCAAGTCTTATCTCCCCCGTCTTCCCTCCCTCCTGGTGCCTAGAAAGTGCTCCACAAGTGTGCCAGGAGAAGGTGTTAGAGTAGGCCAACTGACTTAACAAACAGCCCCCAAGTCTTCAATGGCTTAGTAAGAGCAAAGTTGATTTCTCACTCATGCAAGGTGCAGTGTGGCTGTTCCTTAAGTCACCTCTCCTCCGAGCAACAACTCCAGGATCCAGGCCCCTTCCCATGGGTGGTTCCGCCATCCTCCTCTGGGTTCTCTGCATCCAGCCAGCTGACAAACAGAAAGCGCGAAGGATCACAGGACCAGTACTAGAGGCAGATCTAGAAGTGACATGCACTGCTTCCACCACATTCTGCTGGCCAGAGCCAGCCACTAGATACAAGTGCTGGGAAATGTAGGGCTGCTGTGCTCCAAGAAGAGGACCAGGCTGGGAGCAGCCACTACCGGCCACAGTGAATGACAGACAAAGAATGGGCCTCTCGCCTGAGGACTGGCCTGTGCCTCCTTACATAAGCTCATGCCCCTTCTCCTGCCCTCTTAGATCACGCCGGGCAGCAAGGCAGCCCAGTCCCAGCTCAGTCAAGGTGATCTCGTGGTGGCCATTGACGGTGTCAACACAGACACCATGACCCACCTGGAGGCCCAGAACAAGATCAAGTCCGCCAGCTACAACCTGAGCCTCACCCTGCAGAAGTAAGTGGCAGCTCTCTGGAGCCGCGAGGGTTGGGAGGGCTTTGTCGGGGGTGGGGGGGCATCTGGGGGCCAAGGGAGGGACTGTCCAGTAGCAATCATGTGGGCCAGCCCTGTGCTAAAGGATGTGCAGGGAGGTGAGTGCAGCCTCTGTACCAGAATAAGGACCAACCCTGCTGTCGGTGCCTAGAGGTAGCCATTACTGCCTCACTTGACAGGTCATTGCCTTAGTCATCTAGCACTGCTCCAACAGAAATACCACAAGTGGATGGTTTTAACAAAGAGAAATTTATTCTCTCACAGCCCAGTAGGTTACAAGTCCAAATTCAGGGCATCAGGTCCAGGGGATTGCTTTCTCTGTCGGCTCTGGAGGAAGGTCTGTGTCATCAATTTTCTCTTGGTCTGGGAGCTTCTCTGTGCAGGAATCTCAGGTCCAAAGGACGCGCTCTGCTCCCGGCACTGCTTTCTTGGTGGTGTGAGGTTCCCATGTGTCTCTGCTCGCTTCTCTCTTTTATATCTCAAAAGAGATTGCATCAAGACACTATCTAATCTTGTCAACCTCATCAGTATAACCTCATCACAATGATAGAATTTACAACACATGAGGAGATCACATATAACCTCATCATAGTGATAGAGTTTACAACACATAAGGAAATCACATCAGATTACACAATCATACAATACTGGGAGTCACGACCCAGCCAAGCTGACAGATATTTTTGGGGTACACAATTCAATCCATGACAACAGGTGAGAGTCAGGATGAGCCAGGGGCTGCACCCATGGTGAGGGGTCAGTTGGGGCCTGGAAGCCAGGCTTTCTGACTCCAAAGCCCATATCCTGCCTTCCGCTATCACCAGGTAACTTCCCAAGAAGGAAGCACAGGTCCATGGGTGCAGACCCAAGGACTCCACGGCATTGTCGTCTCCACCAGGGCCAGGCCTAGTGCCTTCCAGGGAGGAACCTGGCCATGGGAGTGGACATGGGCCTAGGCCCTCAGACTTTGTTGCCCAGCTCTCACTTGCTCCCCTCACCAGCCCCACCCAGGTAGGGGAGCTCCTGGCCCCAGAGGCCACTGTCCTCACTTGGTCCCATTTCTGGCTTCTCCAGGTCGAAGCGCCCCATTCCCGTATCCACGACAGCGCCCCAGGTCCAGTCCCCTCTGCCGGTGATTCCCCACCAGAAGGTAGGTGCTGACTGTCAGCAGGCCGCAGGGTCTGCTCTCAGCCGTGCTCCTGGCCTGCCTGGCCCAGCCCCTTGGCTGGCCCAACTGGTGCATCTGCCCTGCCTGCCTCCTGCCCCTGCCATGGCTGACCATGGGAGGTGAGGAGGGCCCTCAAGGACAGGGTGTTTGAGTCCCCCAGGAAAACACTGAGTCGGGGGTCCTGCCTGGGTCCTACCATCACTCTCAGGCCTCATGACTGGGCTGATGGGAAACCAGCTTGGGCAGCAATGTTCTCAGGAGACAGTCATCCTCACAGCAAGGAAGGACAAGCATCCAGAAGGCTCTGACCCTCATCTGCCACAGCCACAGGGAGTGGTTGTGGTATGAAGGGCATGGAAAGCTAGAGGCCCAGCCTGAGCTAGCCATCTCGGGGGGGATCCCAGGAGTGCAGGAGCCTTCTCACCTGAGGGTTTTCTCCTCCACCACACGATCTCTCCCTCTGGTTTCCATTTCCCCACCTGCCCCTCCATGCTTTCTTCCCAGGCCCCAGCAAGGACACATCCAATGCACGTCCCATTGGCCCCATGAGCAGTGCTGATGGTGGCCACAGAGGCAGGCACAGGGAAGGAGGTGGAGCCCTGGCTGCTAGACCTCACTACTGCACCCCACTCTGGCCAAGCAGCCCAACCCTGCTTGGGAGGTCCCCCCACGGCCACTGCCTGTGTGACCACAGAGTGACTTGGTCTCTGAGTGGGGTAGCGTTGGGCCATGGGTGAGTGGAGAGATGGGAGGAGAGATACATGGGTCTCTGCGGGCCACAGCCTGGGCAGACAGACTTCACGGAGGGAAGGAGAGGTTGACTTTGGGTTTGGGGCAGGTAACATTTTGGGGAACAGGGCAGAAGGCTGCTTGGGAGACACTGCAGAAGTGGACCAAGGGAACCAAATGCCAGCCCAGCTACTTCTGTAGCATCCCCTCCACCCCACCTGTTCACAGTCAGCCCAGGGGCCCAGGATGCATAGGTTCCCCAAGGGAGGGGAGCCAAATCTTGGGGCCCGTCATTGGCTATGTGAGGGCATCTCAGAGGGGCTCAGCAGACATAGGATGGAGGTGACATCCCACCACCCCCTGAGCCTCACACCCACCTTCCTCTGGCCCCACAGGCAGACTCAGCTTAGCTTTCTACGTGGGGCTTTGCTTTTTGCCCAGGTGGATACCAGCCAGGGGCCCAGAAGCTGGTGCTGCCCTCACTCCTCTCTACGAAGCCCTTCTTTTCCAGGTGCCCGTCTGGCCCCTCTCAGCTCTGTGCAGGGGCTCCAGGGTATAGGGGGTGTGGCTGCTGGGCGCTGACACTAACACCTCTATTTCAGGTATCCATGTCTCTAACACTGTCTTCTCTCTCCCCTGCATGGTGCTGCCCTGTGCCAGGACCCCGCTCTGGACATGAACGGCAGTGTGGCGGTGCCCAGCCCCAGCCCCGAGGCACAGGCCGGCCCAGGCAGCCCGGGCACAGCAGAGCTCAGGCAGACCCTGAGCTCCTCATTCTCCCAGACCTCCCCTCCATGGGGCAGCCTGGGGGCCAAGACCAGCCCCGAGGGCCCGAAAGTCCCACACGGCTCGAGACAGCCAAGGCAGTATAACAACCCCATTGGCCTGTACTCGGCAGAGACACTGAGAGAGATGGCTCAGATGTATCAGCTGAGCCTCCGAGGGAAGGCCTCAGGTGCTGGACTCCCAGGAGGGTAGGTAATGGGCATTCAGCTCTCCACAGTGCTCGTGGCAACCTGGGTCCTTGGTGCTTGGCGGAGGCCTGGTCTGGGGGTCAGAGCTAGGAGCTGGCCTCATCCAGCCACCCCCAAGCCCATGAGGCAGTGCAAGCTGACAGCAATGAGAGCCGTGGTCCCTTCTTAGCACACGCTGTGAGCGGGCCCATCATTGCTTCACTCAGCCACTCTCAGGGTAACGTGTCAGATTTTGCAAATGAGGAAACTGAGGCTCAGAGAAGGTTAAGTTGTGATCCAGCTGTCCAGCTATTAAGTGGCCAAGCCAGAATTTGAATGCAGAAGACTCTAACTCTCAAAACTGACATACCAGGCCACCCCTCAGGACAGGACAGCATAGCCTGCTGTCCCCAGGAGCTACGGGGAAGGGGACATACTGGTCCTTGCCCTCTGGGAGGCCTGAGGCAGAAACAGGGAAGAACCAGAGAGGTAGGAGCTTTCAGTTCTCTACAGCTGGCAGTGGTCTGGGAAGGCTGCCTGGAAGAAGAGCCCCTGAGTTGGGTATGGAGAGTTAGGAGAGGAGAGCAAGTTGCAAGACTGATCCTGGCCAAGCAGGGGCAGCAAAGAAGCAGATCCCCAAGGAGAAGGGGGCAGTGGAGGAGACGAGCAGCCCACCCCACCCCCACCTTGCCATCTAGCTGGGGACTCTGTGAGCACGGGAGTTAAAAGAACATGGAGCAGGGAGTCGTGCCAGGGCTGAGGGAAGGGGAGGCCCCTCACCCTGAGCACATCTCCAAGCCCTTCCCACTCGGTATCTCATTTTAACCTCCACAATAGCCTGGGCCATCATATAATCGTCTCTGTTCTCCAGAGTCCGAACAGGCAGAGTTAAGGCACTAAAGCATGGTGGAGGGGTTCAGGTTCCTTGTCTGTATAACGGGCAGAATCGCTTTGTCCACATCACAGGTTACTATAAACATTCAGTGAGTCAATGAGACAGGTAAGGCACTGAGCTCTGCGTCTGGCACCTACCTGGCATCATCATTGCCAAGATTGAAGCCTGGGTCATTCTAGCCCAACACATACCCTTCCCTCTGCCATAGCTGCAGAAGGCACCTGCCCCAGGCCCCAGCTCCCCTAGTTCTCCCAGCTCTTTGTGGGATCCAGAGTGAAGCTGGTCTCTGGCACGCCATGGCCTGAGCATCTGGGCTCCTGACTTCCTGGACCCAAGGTGGCAGAGCCTTGTAATCCCCACCCCCACTGTCTTCCCCAGGCCATAAAGGGCTTTTGCCAGGAAACTCAGGGGATGCAGAACCAAAATGGCCTTCTTTGATGGGCTGGAAGCCCTTCCTTCTCCTCTGGGAGAATGGCCCTGGGAAGGGAGGACTTCCTGGGTGGCCTGGGACCCCCACGGGGCCCACCTGCAGTAATGGTAATGTCTCCCCTCACTGAGCCCTCGCCCCAAGCTGGGGGCCGGCTAAGCAGTTCAGAAGCTTCATTTCACACAACTCTCTCCAAAACTTCAGAGACAGGCATTATGTCCCCCACTTAACAGCTGGGAAACAGAAGCTCAGAGAGCTTGAGTAACTTGTCCAAGGTCACACAGCTGGCACCTGGGGTCTGCCTGACTCCACCCTGCATTGAGACAGGGATCTACGAAACTGTGTGGGGAAGTCCCATGATTCCAAGGTGCCCTCCTGTTGGTGTGAGGTTTCCCAAAACAAGCGTGTAAATTATTACTTGACACTCATAACAGCAGAATCCAACAGTCCCCTCCAAGGGAAGGGGTGCTCCACCTCAAGTGAAAGCTGGTGGCTGCTGAATATGGCCTGTCTTGCAGCAATGCCGGTCTCTGACCCAGCTAGTCCAGCACAGCCTCTGCTGGCTGAGGCCACCTCCTTAGCTAAGTGATATGAGTCGTCAGGGTCGAAGGCAACAGGGTCAGCAAATGCTAATTGCCCTATCCGTCCACTGCACACTTACCCCACGCTGAGGGCTTTACACTCTGGATCCCATTTGGTCTGCGCTGTCATCTCAATTTTAGGAATGAGAAAACTGAGGCTGAGATGGGGGTGGGGGTGTGACACGCCCAGAGTCACAACCCTAAAAAGAGGCAGTGTCAGGATTTGAACTCTGTTCTGTCTGGCTCCAGAGAGAAGCACCTTCCCCTACGTTTTCCTCTGGGCATCTTACAACTTGTATCCTCGTGGGATGAGTGGAGAAGAGCAGATGGGGTGGAAGGGCAGTCAGGCCTGAGCATCCCTGCTACCTCCTTCTCCCCCATCCTCTCTGGGCTGGCATTGCTCGGGCCAGTTGGTGCAAGGGCCCCGGGGCAGGTCTTGCATCTTTGGCTCACCCTCCCTGAGACCTTAGCGCTGGCTCCTCCCTAAGTTGTGGCTGCTGCAAGCATCCTAGCCTCTAGGTCCTGGGACTGAAGCTGAGCAGGGGACAGGAATCAGTGCCAACCTGGGTGCCTGGTTAGAAGGAGCTGGCTCCCCTTGGAAGGGCAGACACAGGCCCTGAGGACAACACTGCCCTCTGCGGGGGGCACTGGGCTTGTCAGGGCAAGAGCTGACCCTGCAGCTGTCAGCACTGGCCAAAAATGGAGACAGAATGGAAGCTCTGTGCCTGCCTGGCCCTTTCCTAATATAGCTCCACGAACAGCTATTTCCAGCCTGGGAGGACAGAGGGAATTTTATCAGCTCTGAGACAGTGGCAGGCCGAGGGCTCAGCAGGGCCACTGCAAGGCTATCTGGAGCTGGTGACCCCCTGGCATTGCCCTGGCTCCCCAGGGTCCTGGCTGAGATATGGTGGGCAGATCTGGGAAGATGGCAGTGTTTGGGGGCACAGCTGCCACCTTCCACACTCCCTCCCCCTTGGGGTTCTTACAGGGCGACAGGTACTCTCAGGATGCTCACTCTTAGATAATAGTGTGGGGTAGGGGACCCCGATCCTTCTTGTCGCGTCTAAGCTGGGCTGCCTCTGTGGGGTACTTTCCTGAGGCCAGCCTGAACCACTCCTCTAGCCTCCCCGACTCCTGCAGTTCTGCCTTACTGCCCCACCACAGGGAGAGATAGTCCTGGAGCTATGGGTAAGCCCCACACCCAACTCCCACTAAGGGGGACAGAACCACTGGAGCTGGCCCCCATTAAACAGGGGCTAAATCGAGAGCTGCTTCTGGCCAGGAGGCACCTGGCCCTTGGCCCTTCCCTTCGCAGCCACAGCTGATCCTGTGTGCATCCCAGCTTCCTCCCTGGTGTCTGCAGCCAGGTTGGGTGGGTGGGGGGAGCTTCACGTATATAGCGGGAGTGCCAATGGAGATGGACAAGCAAACCTTCTGCCCCAAAAAGCTGAGGGTGTTGGAGGCCCCTGAGGGGGACATGTTGCTGTGGTCAGCATCTCTGACCCAAACTGAGGCTCCCAAGGCCAAGGCCTGCCTCCAAGGGCTGCACCCTCCCTCACCTCTGGTCCTCATCCAGAGCCAGCTGCAGCTGGCTCTGCCTCCACCGTGGTCAGTCTGAGCGCGACCCAACACTCCCACCCCAGCAAGTTCTCACTCTGATTGCTCCATCTTTCTTTGCACTTTCTTTCTCCCCCAGGTGGTAGCCAACTCTCCAGCCAAGTTAGTATCAAGAAAGCATGTGCCTGCGCCCGCCGGCTTATCCGAGCATGCGCCTGTGTATATCGCGTGTGGACAGCGTGAGCCTGTGTTGGCATGTGTCCATGTGTGTGCATATGTGAGTGGGGTGCATAGTGTCCCTGATGAGCCTGCATGTGGGGGAAGCTGCCAGTCTGGAGTGGAGGCATTTGGGGAGGGCGGCAGGCTCCTTCTGACGGGCCAGCCGTTTAGTTCCCAATGTCGTGCTGCATCTGCTTAAGACTGCAGGCTGGCTTTGATGGGTAGTGGGTGGAGCGCCGTGTTGAAACCGTGTTCTGGGTGCACCTGGAGAACATTTTTGCCTGGGCGGGACCCTCCGAAAAGACTGCCCCTGATGTTGCGAGGGTCGCCGCTGGCGGCCGCACCTCTCCCTGGACCATACAGCCAGCTAGATTGGAGCCTGAGCCCTGCTCGGAAGAAGAAGGCGCACTCACGGAAGCAGCTGAGGAGCAGAGACCGGGCCACCGAGGCGGTGGCCGGTGCCACGAACCCCAGCCCGTTCATGGAGGAGCCTCCGCTCAGAATCCCTGTGGGGGCGCCCAGTGGGGCTGCTTCTCGCCTTTGGGGCGCTCTGGACTTAGCTTGGGTTTCCAGCTGCCTCTCGCGCGTGGCCAGCTCCTGTCGCCTCGGCCCCCCTCCCGCACCTTACTTCCCCAGCCCTTTCTGCTTCCCGGCTGTGTGTGTGGCGAGAGATCGCTCGATGCCTGGCGCCCCCTGCTGCCCCTAGGCGGTAGCTCAGGCTGAGCCTAGGACTGCAGGGCGCCCGGGAGAGATGGGCAAGAAACACCTTTTTCAAGGGTTTTGGGCGGCGGTCGAGGATTTCTCCTGACCAGACCAGCCTGGCCCCCAGTCAGAGGGACTTGGGGAGCCCACTTGGGAGTCAGGGCTTCAGCTTTGGGAGATCTCTCACACCCACCAACAGCAGTCCTTACCCAGACCTTCCATGTAACCACCCCCGTGGCCATTTTCTCTATCCTCCTCCTCCCCACCTTCCTCCCATCCCGCTCCTCACACACCCCTCCCCCCAGCGCCGACTACCAGGAACGCTTCAACCCCAGCGCTCTGAAGGACTCGGCCCTGTCGACCCACAAGCCCATTGAGGTGAAGGGACTGGGAGGCAAGGCCACCATCATCCACGCGCAGTACAACACACCCATCAGCATGTACTCCCAGGATGCCATCATGGACGCCATCGCTGGGCAGGCCCAGGCCCAGGGCAGTGACTTCAGTGGGTAAGCGCCTCCCCTCCTGCGCATGGGTCACCGCCTTTCGCAACACAGCGGGGCCGCATCACCAGAGGAGGCCACCGCGCGCCACTGCATCTTTAGGCATCGGACCAGCTTTCTCTCCCCTGTGGAGGGCCTTGCGGTGCTCAGGCCCTTGGAGGGGAGCCAGCCTTCGCAGGGCCTTCCGGAACATGGTTGTTCTCTCTTCAGAATCTACTGCAAGATCAGCTTTAGGAGAAGGCTGGAGAAACCTTCTTGGAGAAGGCTCCATGAGGGGGGTTGGTTTAGAAAGAAACTTCTAGAATCCTGTTAACAAGGGACACCCTCTGGATATCCCCCCAGCCTTCTCATAGCTAAGCTGTTCTTTGGGGGTAAATTGCTGCATTCTCCCAGCGATGAGAGTCGATTCAAATACATGATTGGGTTTTTCATTTGGGAAGGTGCCTCCAGACAAACCATTCAAAGTATTGATGGCAGTCGACTCCATTGCAGAGCTTGGGACGCACCCAGGCCTGAGCACCTCTCTCCTCCTGTTAGCCCTAAGGAAGTCCACTCTCACGCAGGAGGATTTAGGACATCCTCTGTTCCTGGGATTTGCCCATTAGCTAATGAAACTTAAGAGTTGAGTGAGGAGAGAGTTGGCCGAAAATTGTAGATGAAATTGCTGATAATGCAAACCTTAACGGGGACATGTGTGTGTGTCTTTCTGTCTTCTGTCTGTCTCTCAATATCTCTCTCATTCCCTCCTTCTTTTCCTCTCTCTTATTCTGTCTCTCTCACACATGCATAGAGTCCCTTTTTTCTAGTTGGGAATACCATTGGTATTGACTTTCAGAATGGGCTGATTATTTCTTTGGGCAACATCTTATCCCTAGGTCAGTATTCCCAACAACTCAAGGCAAGAAGTCTTAAAATGATGTTTATGCATTTTTTTCCTGAAGTTAGGAAAAAATGTATGTTGTAAGAGGAAGGGAGGGATTAAAAAGTCCCAGAGAACTCCTATAGTTCTTGGCCTTTCCAGAACCCAGTCCTTGTGGCCATGATGTGCATGCACATTATTAGGGTCAGGCTCCAGTGAGGCCAAAGGTGAGCCTTGGTGTGGACTTTCAAGGCTTTCCTGGTCCTAGGGAGCTGGAGGAGCCCTGGTGGCACAGTGGTTAAGAGCTTGGCGCTAACCAAAGGCTCAGCAATTCGGATCCACTAGCCGCTCCTTTGAAACCCTGTGGGGCAGTTCTGCTCTGTCCTGTAAGGTCGCTATGAATCGGAATCGGCAGTACTTCATTTGGGCCACCAGAGGGCAGTGATCGCTTGCCCTGGAGCAAGATAAAAACCATTGCCATCCAGTCGATTTCCGACTCATAGCAATCCTATAGCAGTGGGTCTCAAACCTGGCTCAAGGTTGCAGCTCTTTACAGAACATCAGATGAAGATTTATTTAATTCCATCATTCAAAGCAGAAAATATAATCATACAAGTTTAAAGACACAACCATTAGCGCATGGTACCCAGAAAAACAAGGCTGCCTGGCTAAGCCCAAGAGCTAACAGGATTTCCTATTAACATTTATCTGTCACTTGTGTCCTTGGTGTGCGCTCAGCAGTAGTAACAGTCACCTGAGGGAAGCTGAGTGGAAAGTAATGGAAGAAGTGCTCTTCGCTAACTTTATTTTTTCCGCATCTTGGGAAAAGATTGCTATCACTTGGCGCCACTGATTTTTGGAACACAAAGCACCACTGTTCTAATCCAGGCTTCCAGGGAGCCTTTCCCATCTCCCTCTTCTCCTCTGCCCTCCCCTCCCCTCGCGTGCCTGGGAAGCAGCATCCTTTCCCATTCTTTTTAACTCGGGCCCCGTGGTACCGGCGAGTCAGGAGCGCTGCTTCCGTTTCTACTGTTAATGTCCTCGGTTCCTTCCTCACTGACCAGTTTCTTTTTGTCTCTCTCTTCCTCCTTTATCCACCTTTACTCCTATAACTCATTTCTGATACTCACCCTGCTCTCTTGTGTGCGCGCTGCCCCTCTGCCCTCCCATGACGGACATGCACCCATTGCTGGGTTTTCCTCTGCTTGGCAGGGCATCGCCGCTGGCGTAAGTAGACCCCATGGTGTCTGTCCCATTGTCTGTCTGTCTGGTTGCTATATGGCATGTGGGGTTGGTGGGATATGTATGAGAACCAGTGGTCAGTGGCTCTGTCCACGTTCTTCCTCACACCAACCTCACAGCCAAATGGCCTCCCCTGCAGCCTATACAAGCAAGGACTTGTCTTTTGGGGTTGGCGCCAAATACTGTTTCTACAGCCACAGAAATCACAGAGTAATGACACTCACACTGTCCCCCTCCCCCCCACTCCCAAGGCTGGGGGTGTGTTGTGTGTTCTCCTTGCCATGCTTTGTGGAGGCTCCCCCCACCTTTCCTATCTGCAATGAGAAACCATAGAGCTGGATGTCAGAATCCATCCTGGGCCCTTCTTCAGGGGCAGAGGGTGGCAAGTGGGCCTCTTGGAGGCTACTCCCCAGAATCCCCATGGGAGAGGAATCTATAGAAGCCAGCACCCATCGGGACCACCCATGGGCAGTGCACAGAGGGGACCTTGATGTCGTAGAGACTGTAGAGTATGTCCTGTGGAGTGGAGAGCAGACTGGAAATGGCTCCAGAGAGAGGCCTCTAACCCAGGGTCACGGGACACAGGGCCTGTGTCATCCTCTCTCTATACATTCTTTCTGAGCATAGCAGTTCCTTTCTCTGACTGCAGTCTCTGTCGCGGCGATGGCAGGAGCTCCTGGTCTCTGCCCAGTGTGGTGGGAAGCAAAGCCAACCATGTAGAGTCCCTAGGGCCTCCCTCCTGGCAGCCTTCTTGCCCTTGGAGCTCAGGAAGGAGAAGGGGAGCTCTTCATGGGCACGTTCCAGAAAATGGCAGCAAACATATTCCATCTACTTTCTGGACCTCAAAGCTCTGTGTGGCCAGGCTCCAGGGCAGGGCCTGAACTAGGAACCTCACCTTCTCTCTCCCGTGGCACAAATCCACACTTCCTCCCTCTCTCAACTTCTAGAGGGCCAGGAGTCAGGACCTGGTGTCCTGGTGTGCCTTCCTATTGCCCTTCTCACCCAAGGACTTCAGCAGGCCCAGCCTCTGCTTTGGGAACCCTTGAGACTGCTCCCTATGCCAGAAATGGCTGCCCCCGGAGAAATCCCACGCTCTCCTTTGTTTCCTGGGCAGCCCCAGGCCCCTCCCTGGCTGGACCCTAGAAGGATCTGCTGGTCTCCTCCGTTTTCACCCAACCCCAGGCTGCTAGTTCCTGTAGCTCTCTGGGCCAGGGCAGAGCCTTCAGGGAAGTAGGGGCAATTCAACCCAACCGTGATCTTTCTCCACCTCTGCTCTCATGGCCCACCCTGAGCCAGGCACAAGGGACCAATCCTGAGAATCTAGTTCCATGGGAGACTAGGCCAATTCTGTCCAGCTCCTTGGAGAGAGGATGGAGGACATGGTACTGGAAAGATCCCTCTCCTAGCCAACTAGCCCTTAGGGGAGGGTAGAGGCAGGCATTGAGGCAGGCAGGGGTGCTACGCAGGGTGAGCATCAGGGCTGGGCCATGTCTCCCCGTCTGTGTAAGGCCCTGGTAGGCAGGAATGGCCTTCCTGAGTCCTCATGACTAAGGAGGGCCTGGTGGAAAGGACGCTGGGCTCAGGGCCGGGAAGCCTGGGTTCTAGCATAACGGGACCCCTGCGGCTGTAACCTGAAGCTAGTCAGCTGGCCTCTCTGAACCTCAGTTTCAGCATCTGTATGAAGAAAGGGTTGGGCCACTGGGGAGGCATCTGTTGCTACTGTGGGCTTTGCCTCAGCCTGCCCTGACCTCTGGGGGATGGGGGGCCGGCAGCCTGGATCCGCAGCCCTCCCTAGCCGGTCGAAGGGACACCTGCGAAATTTTGGTCATTTATTGCCCTGCAGTCCAGAATGGGCTGGGAGGCACTGGACCCAAGGGGCTCTGGGGTCCCTTCCAGCTCTGATCTAGGATTTGTTCATTCAACCAAGAGTTCCTGAGACCCTGAGAGTCGAAGGGAAGGTCTCTAGGTCTCCCTGAAAAGGCTGTGTTGCCCTGGGCAGAGCACCAGTGCCCCTCCCTGCAGCTCCCCTCCCAGCATTCCCAGGTCAGGAACCCCAGTGCCAGGGCCGGCAGTGCCAGGGCCAGAGTGGGCCTTACTGCCTTGTTTCTCACGCCTCCTCCCTGCCAACGCTGCCTGTTCTCAGCTGAGCTGGAGCCCCCAGCCCTCCTCTGGGCTAGTCATGGCATTAGTGCTCCCTGACTGGATCCAAAGGTGTGAGGAAGGCCGGGGTTTCAGGCCTGAGGAGATCTCTGAGTCCCCCTGTCCCCACCCAGCCCCAGATACACAGCCTGCTCAGGAAGGTTGAAATTACAAGAGGACCATCTCTACCACCTTCTTCCTTAAAGAGGATCCAGCACCCCTCCCCCAGGGCGGGGGGCCCAGGCCTGAAAGGAGTTAGCATGGGTGGGGGGATGGGAAGGCTCTCGGCTCCTGACCCTCATGAATGAGAGGATTCACTGCCTCGCTGTGACCGCCTAGAGCACCGAGGACCCAGGCAAGCTGTCGCAGGCTCTCAGAGAGCAGAGGGAAAAGAGCCTGCTGGGGAGAGACCACAGGGGCCGGGCCAAAGGGAAGGAGGAGGGGGACATGCTGGGGGGGAGGTAGGGAGTTGGTTCCAGCCTAGCCCCCTCTGATGGCCTCTTTCTGCACTGCAGGAGCCTTCCTGTTAAAGACCTGGCTGTGGACAGTGCCTCTCCCGTGTACCAGGCTGTGATCAAGAACCAGAACAAGCCGGAAGAAGAGGCTGACGAGTGGGCCCGCCGCTCCTCTAACCTGCAGTCTCGTTCCTTCCGCATCCTGGCCCAGATGACAGGAACAGAGTATAGTAAGTGAGGGCCATGGGGTAAGGGCAGAGCAGGAGACGCCAAGGGCCCTGAGGGCTTCTGGACCCTACTCCACGGTCCACAGAAGCCAGGAACCAAGCCTCCAGCCCCTAAAGATACTGGGCCCTGATGGATGGTTAGCAGCCTGCAGGGCTCCTCTGGGCCCCCTCAGCACCCCTAAGGGCTAGCTGTCCTTCTACTCTCCTCCTTGGCTTCCGTCATGGGCGAGCAGGCTTTCCATGCTTCTTCCAAGTGCAGTGACTGCTCTGGGCTGGGATGAGAGGACTTCCCAGGCCATGCCTGGGACTGCTGCTTCCCCACTGCCCAGTTCCCCTGATGTCTCCTTTCCCCACTGGCCCTCCACCCAGCACCTGGAGCCCTTCCCTTCCACCTTTCTGGAGGAGCAACATTAACTGTGCCCTGGGGACTCAGTGCCCACAGAGCTCCAGGGAGTTTTCCTTCTTGTGCTCCCTATGACTACCCCTGACCCAGCTCCTTTCTCTCCGCAGTGCGAGACCCGGACGAAGAAGCTCTGCGAAGGTCAAGGTAGGTGCCTGGACTCAGGCTCAGAGGTCTCGCCCTTCTTAACCCCATTCCCTCCCCAGGCAGCCCCTTGTTCACATGACCCATGGAAGGAACCTCTCAAGTTCATGCATTTGGAAACCCCTGGCTCCCAAAGGCCTCCAGCAGATGCTGGCTTGGGGCAGCCATTCTGGGTCATTGAGGTGGGGGCCTGCAGCTGAGTCTCTATCCCCCCAGGTCCCAAGCCACAGGAGTGAGGACTCTGGGCTTCCCTGGCTCTGTCCATGGCTCCGTCCCTGGGCAGGGGACAGGGCTGCTTTGGCCTCCACTGGGCTGTTGAGAATGAGGGCACTTGTCCCTGTGAGGGCACCAGGCACGTGGGGCCACATGAGCACCTGACCTCCGGGCTCACGTGTCCAGTGGTGTCAGTTCTTACAGCAGAGCAGCTGCTGCAAGGAAGGACAAGCCCTGGGCACAAGGAGGGGCTCACACAGGGCCAGGTGTCTCAGGAGCATGGACACCTGGCAGTGGCAGGTCTGAGTCACACCCATTACCCCACTGCCTGCGGCATGTTGGGTACTCATGACCCTGGCCAGGAGGCAGGACACTTCCCTGAAACCTGCTAGGGCCTTCCGTGGCAAGGCGTGGGGCTCGGTGCGATTGTGTTTACACTTCCCAGCAGCAAATATGTCTTCTGTGTGCTCTTCCAGGGAGAGTTTGCCTTGGGCCAGCGCATCCTGTGACGGCCTTTGTGCCTGGGGCCGGGCCTCAGAGGCCGTTACCCACCTGGGCCAATCTTTCGGCACCTGTTAACCAGAGTGCAGTGGCCACTGGACTGCATGGAGAGTAGGACTCTGGGGTCAACTTGGAGTTGATGTGGTTTTTATGTTGAACCGATATTTTTGCTAATCAAGTTCCTCCCACTTCTGGGCTGAGGCCCCCAAACCTAAAGCGGAGTACTCCTAGGCCTGCTGATGATGGCGCTCTGGCCAGTGACTCTCCTTAACCCTTCGGTGCCTGCAGTGTGTCTACATAGAGGCTGAAAGGCAGCAGTGTTTCATTTAGCTCAGAAGTTACTATCTAGCTATTTTAAGTGTGACTGAGATGCCCACCCCTCTCCTCCTGGGCCCCTCTGCCCTTCCTGCTATGTCTGCATGTGTCCTGTGCTCTGCTCCAAACCACCCACACAGATGCTCCAGTGAGCAATGTAGACCTGACCAAAGATTCGGTAGCGGGAAGGCTTCACATCACACACCCTACAGCCAGTACAAAATCCTCCCAGGCCCCTTCCATTGGGAAGCCAGCTGGCAACCTTTCCTCTCCCTTCCGCCGGACACAGAAGCCTCCTTTCTGGCCCCTGCCTCCCCCTTCTGCACTGCTTCCGGTTCTTCCAAGTTCCCCTCCCCTCCCATTTGCACGGCCAGCCATTCGGCTCAGCCACAGCTTCGACTCTCAGCTTGCACCCCATTAGCCAGGCACGCTGTACAAGGGGGAGGGGTGCTGGTGACGGTGGTGACAGTGGACTTTTGTGTTGTTGTTGTAAAGATATATATAACACAACATTTGCCAATTCATTGTTTTTCATGTGTACAATTTAGTAATATCAGTTACATTAATCTTATCGTTCAACACTCACCGGTAATTGTTACCAGATTTCCCATCACCCTAAGCAGAAACTCGCTTACTTCCTAAACAATGACTCCTTGTCTTCCCTACCTTCACGCCCCTGGTAACCCACTAATAAAACTTTGGTCTCTATCCCCTTGCCTAGTCTAGATATTTCATGTAAGTGAGATATATGATCTTTTTTGTGGTTGACATTTCACTCAGCATGTATTTCAAGGTTGATCCATGTTGTAGCACGTATCAGGACTTCATTTCTCTTTATGGCAGGTAACACTCCATTGCATGTATGTACCTCATTTTGTTTATACGTTCGTCTGTTGCTGGACGTTTCAGGTTGTTTCTACCTTTTGACTATTGTGGACAGTGCGGCTATGAAAATTGGTACATGAGTCTATTCGTGTCACTGCTTTCAAGTCTCTTGGATATATACCTAGGAGTGGAATTGCTGAGTCATATGGTAGCTCTATGTTTAACTTTCTGAGGGATCTCCACAGTGTTTCCCACAGCAGCTGTGCCATTTTGCATTCCCACCAGCAAGGGGTAAGGGTTCCAGTTTCTCCACATCCCCGCCAACATATGTTGTTTTCCGTCTTTTTTCTCTTAGCCCTCCTAGTAGGAGTTACAGTGAACATTTGTCTTTTATATTTCCCCTGGAATATGTGTAGGCTGTGCAAATATTCTCTCCCCAAAGCATGAGTGAGGAGAACACAAAAGACAGTACTAAAGGTGGTCCCCAACCTCATCCTTGGCCTCTGCTGTCCCTTGTTTTAGAAGCCTCTCTTGGGGCTTGTTCTGCCTGGTCATGTAGATGTGGGGGGTAGGGTTATACCTCCCCTCTGGATACCGTCCCCGCACCAGCTTGAAAAATCAGTTGCAGTTCTCAGTGCCTCTACTCCAGCTACCATAGAGTTTAATTTTCGGGAAATCCGGAAAGAGAACACACAGAGAAGCTTCAGACAGCTTCTTCCCTCAGCCCCAGACCCCCAGCCCTGAGAAAGTGGCTTCCCTCAGCAGGCACTGTACCCCGTCAACCCCTCCCTCTGAGTCTCTGCCCTGCAGGGCAGGCACTGGGGCACCCAGCAAGCCTCTGCCCAGGACTGGAGGGGCTTACAGCCCCTCTTGCTATCTCCGTTCTTGACTTTAATTTCTGGAAGACTGTCCTTATGGTCACAGCCTCCAAAAATGCCCACCCTCCCCATGGCCACAGGAGGAGGGCAGATGTTTTGATTTCTTCTTCCTGCTGGTGCACGGTAAGAAGGCTGGCATGACGCCGTGTGTTGTCAGGCACGCTGTACCAGGCGGAGCTTGTACCTGGAGGACAGGTGTAAGTCCACAAGTTGGAGGGACTCTGCAGACTCTCTCCTCACCTCCCTGACAGCTCTGCCTCTGAGGCCCACCCCCTGCTCAGAGTTCTAGGGCAGCCCACAGTCCTCCCGTCTCAACCCTGACTCCAAAGCTCTGACAGTGCTTCAGGTGTCTGGTCGCAAGTAGCTTCCCTAGGAGGCTCCAGTGCCCTCCTGCCACTAGCCCAAGGCAAAGTCCAGTCTCCAGGGAATCTGTCATTAGGGCCCCTGAATAGCCCAGGCACCACTCATGAACTTGACTCCGTCCCAGGAAAGACCTCAGGACCTTAGGACATATCCGTCTAGCTGCCTTAAACACTAGCCTCCTGTCTGCTTCCACCTGAGGGGCTTCCTAGGACCTCCTCTAGTACCTGCAGGTGATGCCGTGGATACCCAGCTTCCATCTGAACTAGCCAAGTGCAAATAGTGCCTCCAGCCCAATGCTGAATGCGGAACCCCGGAGAAGCCACACAGCTCGCTCTGACTTGGGGCAGGCATCCCAGGACCAGGGGCCCAGAAGGCCAGTCCACATGTGGCAGTCATGGTGGGCAAGTCTGCTTCTGGGGCAGGGCTTGAATTTAGAGGCAGCTGGACCCCACTCCTTGGGCGTAACCATCCTGGAGGACCCCAGTGTGGAACCCAGACACCACCTGTCCCATCTTGTGGCTCAGCTGTCTGCAGGTGTAGTCTCTGTGTTTGCCTGCTGCCCCCCTGGGTAAAGAACTCTGCATCTCTCCTGTTTATAAGCACTAAGGAACAGTTTTGATTTTTCTGGAGATTTCATAGAGCCGTTGAAGGTGAGGGTTGCATCGCACACCCCACAGTAAAAACCCTCCCACTACCTTCTCCGTTGTGTAGCTGGCAGGGATTCTTTGTTCTGCCTCCCCCTTCTGATGGAGCACCAGAACTCCCGCTTCCTCTTCCTCCCTCCCACAGGTGCCCTCGGCATTTCAATGTCCTCCTCCCTCTCTGTGCGCAGGTACTGAGCCCTACCCCAGCCCCAGCCACGACGCTCACACGGCAGGCCTTCATGGTGCTGGCGAAGCACAGGTCCTTCCTTTAACAGGACCCTCATGAGAACGCAGTGGGCAGCGATCAGTCACAAAAGCTCCTCCGTTTAGTGGACGATCCTCCGTGGTGTTCTGCCGCCCTCTGTTGTTGTTATTGTTGGTTGCTGTGGGGTCGGCACGATTCACGGCGCCCCATGTACAACAGAAGGAAACACTGCCCAGTCCAGCACCATCTTCACAATCGGTGGTACGCTCAAGACCATTGTTGGGGCCACTGTGTAGTCTGAGTGCCTTCCAACCTCGGAGGAGCCCTGGTGGCGCAGTCGTTAAGAGCTAGACTGCTAACCAAAAAGGTCGGCAGTTCAAATCCACCAGCTGTTCCTTGGAAACCCTATGGGGCAGTTCTACTCTGTCCTGTAGGGTTGCTATGAGTGAGGATCGACTTGACGGCAACGGGTTTGGTTTTTGGTTTCCACCCTAGGGAGCTCATCTTCCAGCACTATATCAGACAGTGTTCTGTTGTGATCCATAGGGTTTTCATTGGCTGTATATTAGAAGTAGATTGCCAGGCCTTGCTTCCCAGTCTTAGTCTGAATGTTCCGCTGAAACCTGTCCACTATGGGTGACTCTACTGGTATTTGAAATACTAGTGGCATAGCTTCTAGCAACACACAAACCACCACAGTAGGACAGACTGACAGACGGTTGGTGTTCTGCCACCCCAGCAAGTTGAAACTCCAACTGGAGTGGTTGGGACCCCCAGAGTGTCTCATCTTCTGAGCAGCCCTCACGGGCAACCCGGTGTCTCTCCTACCTTCTCTTTTGCCTGCTCTTCTCTCTATTCTGTCCCTCCCATTCCGTTTCTTTTTGTTCATTCTTCTCCTGCTCCTTTCTTGGGTTAGCTGTGAATTTCTTAGCAGCTCCAAGTAGAGTAGGCTCCCTGGGCTTGCTGATTCCCCGTGACTGTCCCCTGACCCTGTTCAGTGGACACAGATGACAGACTCTGCGGCCCCACCACGCGCTGTGGTGGAAGCAGTGATTGACA